ACACATTTCACAAGTTGGCAAACCAGATAGCAAACAAACTGAAGCACTTTCATGATAGGGTTAATGACAAAATGAAAAAAGTTCTTCAGAAAGCCACTTTGCTCCTTGGCGGTCTGGGTGTGCTTATTTTGAGTGGGCTTTTTCACACAGGTTGGTTTCTTCGCCTGGACTTTCTTCACCGAGTGCAACACATTCTCCACCTTCTTAGGATCCTGTCGATCGTGGCCACAGTGGTTCTTAAAGAGCTCGGCTCCTGCAGGAAGCTTCTTCTGAAGAGCTTCTACCGTTAGGTCTTCCAGACGACTCTCAACATCGGCTTCTTTAATAAATCCCACCGACCAGGACTCGGCACCATTGTCACAGCAAGCTGCCAGCCAGACAAATTTGGGGACCGCGATTTTGTCCTTTACTTTGAGAGATGAAGGCATTGCTCCGGAGAGGAGATGGAGATCTTTCCCATTTTGACAGTGAGGAGCCAAACCGTGGCTGACAAGCTGCTCTACTTCCCAGTGCCAAAGCTCCTGGAAAGGAGGGGAGAGCGGCACTGCGTTGGTCAGCGTGTGGGTGGCAACGTGGTGGTCGTCCTTATGAAGAGAGCTGGGGTTTAGGTGCCCCCTCTCATAGCCAGAGTCTACATAATCTGCCATGAGGGCCTGGTTTTTACCCAGATGTTCCACCGACTCTGCAATCTCAGCTTCCGGCATCATTTCTGCCTGATTATTTCCAGGGTCATCAATCTGAAAAAGGAATAAGAGCAATTGCTGAATTCAGAAGTCGTATTTGCAATCTGAGCCATTTCCCATAAGGTACTAATGTATCCACTAAGCTAAGGCCAATAAATGATTGGAAAGAATATTTTGGAAATCTGCAATGATGATGCTACCAAAGTGGGTAATGAAACATCTGAGAGCCAGTTTGGTTCAATGATTAAGGCGCCAAGCTAGAAACCAGGAGATTGTGAGTTCTAGTCCTGGTTTAGGCATGAAAGTTGGCTGGGTGATTTTAACCCAATCATCAGGAGACTGACTTAGGCATCAAAGCCAGGCGGGTGACTTTGGGCCAGTCACTCTCTCTCTCAGCCCAATTCACCTTATTTATTTTATTTATTTATTTATTTTATTTATTATTCGAATTTATATCCCGCCCTTCTCCTTGCGGACTCAGGGCGGCTGACAATCAATTAAAAACACCAATAACAATCACAAAATTAAAATTAATTAAAATGAAATATTTAAATGGTCTAATTAAAATATGATTAAAAACCCCTCTAAAAACCCCTCTTAAAATTTCCCCTAGGCCAGTCCCGCTTGTTGGAACAGCCATGTCTTGAGGGCGCGGCGGAAGGAAGGGAGATCAGGGATCACCCTGATCTCTGGGGGCAGCTCATTCCAGAGGGTGGGAGCTCCCACAGAGAAGGCCCTCCCCCTTGGGGTCGCCAGCCGGCACTGTCTGGCCGACGGTACCCTGAGGAGACCCACCCTGTGGGAGCGTACTGGCCGATGGGAGGTAATCTGTGGCAGAAGGCGGTCTCGAAG